TCGACGTAAGACACAGAAAAACAAGAAATATACATAAACAACGCAAATCTAAAATCCCTACGCATATTTGATCAACACTGGAGAGAGTTACTTCCCTTGCCCCATTGCATTGCCAAGTCAACAATGTAAAACGTAGTCAATGTGTAATCGCCAAATTTTGCAGTAATGTAAGAAAAGTAAAAAAAACCCTCTACGATATTAACATTAGACGATAATAACTTAACATACTTTAAAAAATGCAAGTTTGACCCAGTTACCGTCAACAAGGTCTAGGGGGCACGGGTGACCCAGTCGTCTAAGGCGCCGCGATTCGCTGTGCAGAGTTGCGTCCCTTGGGCACGCCAGAAGCCTATGATTGTGGGTTCGAATCCCGGTTCTCCCCAATTATGTTTCTAGGTTTGTCAGCACCATACCCGTGCTCGTGGGTTTCACCGAAGTGGTAAACGTCTTAGACCTGCATCACTTCGAGCTTTCCTCCCACATTAAGCTGACACGCCGCGATATGACTGGAATACTGTTAAAAGCGGCGTTAAACCCAACTCACTCACTCACTCACTCGACAAGGTCTTCAGGTCACTTCCAGAATACCTATAATACCCGTGAAGATCCGGGTTAGAATAGGTCTTCAGCAACCCATGCTTGCCGTAAAAGGCGACTATGCTTGTCGTAAGAGGCGACCAACGGGATCGGGTGGTCAGGTTCGCTAACTTGGTTGATGCATGTCATCGATCCCAATTGCGTGGATCGATGTTCATGATAATAATCACTGGATTGTCTGGTCCAGACTCTGATTATTTATAGACCGCCGTCAATTAATTGGCTGGAATATTGCTGGGTGCGGCCTTAAACAACAAACAAACATAATACATTTCAATGACTGGCAAGCATGTCTCTTCTTGTTGGATTTGAACACGTATCCATGGAAACTTAGGATACGTCTTCTACGTAAGAGTGCGGCGTTTACAAACAAACAAACAAACAAACAAACAAACAAACAAACAACCCTTCCAGAAAGGTTTGGTGTCCGAAGTTTGAACGAATGTTCAAAGAGCTCCCCGCTTTCACAACTGAATGAATGAGTGAATGTTTTTATTTTATAGTCAAGAAGGATAGTGTGTAATATAAGATTTCAGAGACTAAATATTAGTCTAAAATATCTTGAACATATCGTTAAGGATAGCTTTCGTGTGTTGCCAGATTGGTTCAAAGAATGGGCTTTGTACCTAAATGGGGAATCGAACCTGGGCCTTCGGTGTGACTAGCGAACACATCAACCACTGGTCTACCCTACTTTAATTAGTATGCGATTTTACACTGCAGCCCTTGAATCGTCTTGATGTGAGAGTGGTAATGAAAATATGTAAAGTATGAACAAATGCCAAATACTACATTTGTTGCCTTGTTCTGCTGCAACCCAGTTCGTAAAATTTACACATTCACATTCTACCTTAAGATCATAACTCTACCTTAAGATCATCACCATTCCCGACATGGGTACAATATGTGAAGCCCATTTCTGGTGTCCCCCGCCGTGATATTGCTGGAATATTGCTAAAAGCAGCGTAAAACCATACTCACTCACTAAGATCATCACCACGTACACTCACCTTGAACCCGAAAACAATAATTCAAGGACGACACATTCCTGAAACTCGCAGAAAATGCTAAAGAATATCTGTTCTGGAGGATTAATTTAATAAAGCGGGATGGTGGTTAGTGAGATTTTGTGCTCCATAAAATGTGCTTGGAACCAAAATATTTCATACATTAAGCGAAGTCTGATATCGTGGTGGCTCCGTCTGGCGAACAAAAAACCTGCACGGCATGTTATCAAGGCTGCACGAGTATGTACAGAGGAGACGTTGGAACTCGACGTTCCGATTGCTCTCCGATAAGTGCCGAATGTGCGTGTTGAATTTTTACGGAAGCAGTCCATTAAGCTGTAGACGAGAGGCAAACATATATAAAACTGTCTCGTCGATGCGGCCGTTAAGACGCCCAGCTGCATCTAATCAATGTACACATGAAGACTTGGCAGTGAACCTAGTCAAGGTACAGATGATTATGGAGATATTACGCGCACAGAGAAAGATCTTTTAATCTCGACACGCAACCTTCCGTTAAAGAGATCACGTAATAATATCGTGTTTAGATAATGACTTCATACGAAACGTGAGCTGCGTAAAAAACAATGGTAAATACGAAGAGCTGGTATATTGTTGAATGCGGCATTAAACAGCAATCAAAACTAAAATTCCCCGAGGGTAAAGTAGCCAAAAGTTTCCCTCGTCATATCACAGACTTGGGTTGGAATTTGAACAATGGTTTGTGTTTTGTTAGGTTGTTGTTTAACGCTGCACTCAGCAGTATTCGAGCTATATAACGGCGGTCGGTAAATAATCGAGTCAGGACCAGACAATCCAGTGACTGACATCATGAGCATCGATCCACGCAATTGGGATACGATGACATGCATCAACCAAGTCAGCGAGCCTGACCACCCGATCCCGTTAGCCGCCTCTTAAGACAAGCATAGTCGCCTTTTACGGGTTGCTGAAGGCCTATTCTACCGCGGATCGTCTCGGGTTGATATGATATACATGATTGTATTTTTGCTGAGCGCCTAAGGATTGCGACATACCTCTCAACTTGCTTTTCACACAAGAACCTCAAGCGACGTCATCTGTTGTTTTCGGGGGTCTCGAATGTCCGTGTGATAATATTGTGGAACGCGGCAGCAAGGAGCCCGCGAATATTGTTACAAGTCCTGCAGTATCGTGCGCATGGTGTACTTGTAATTATTCTCGGAGTCGGGTGAGGTTTCTTCAGTGTTTCGTGTGTTCAGTCGTCGGTTTAGTTCTAATCTCCCGCTTGGGGGCGCTGGGGTCACGGGACTTACAGCAATAAGCTTTCATGACCCCCTCTATTTTCGTGATAGACAGAAACCTCCTGTGACGGCATCTATTGTTTTCGGAGGTCTCTGGAATCCTAAAGATAAGCACTAATGATCCTGAAGAGCGTCTGTACTTGTTGGCGCCGGCATCCTAGCAACGCGTATCTCCTGTATCCCTTCCCAGTCCAAATGCAAGGATCGATGGTTTATGATGTCAATCACTGGATTGTCTGGTCCAGACTCGATTATTTACAGACCGCCGTCATATAGCTCGAATATTGCTGAGTGTGGCGTAAAACAACAAACCAACCACAATACATTAAAGTTATTCAAAAGTGGTTAATGTTAATAAGTATGCCATCCTATCGATTACATGAGAATTGTTATAATATGTTACTATATAATAAAAAAATGAATTGAAATTGGGAAACAATTGAAAAAGATTTTAAATTTTAAAGATTTATTGTTTAAGGTTGGATATGGTTACGTATGGCAAAAAGAGAAAGCAAAATTCTGTGCTGAATATATAAAGCATTTATATATACTACTCAAAAGAAGTTAAGGATCACCTGATCCTTTCATATTACTAATATAGTTAATCTCTCATGTCGTGACAGATTGACTTTACCATTATGAAAGAATCGGGTGATCCTTAACTTCTTTTGAGTAGTATATATCTACAAAGTTGTCAGAGCTTTAAGTAAATGTAATTACTATGTAATGTTTAAAAGTTATATACGTACAGAACTCTATTTAGCTGAGGTGAATGTGAAGGAATATATTTAGGAAATGCTTAGCACGTTTTCGATCCTTAATCGCATACTAATTGAAGAAAGAAGACATACAAATATTAAAAAAGTGACAAATTGCCAACTGTGAACTTTATGTGCAGTCGAAGATGAGTACCACTTCCTCATTGTATGTCCAGCTTTTACAACGTTAAGAAATTTGTAAGCAAAAAAATGTATTATGTCCATCCAAAAATATATAAATTTTCATCTTTGCTAAGCAGTACAAGTCAAGATACACTTCAGAATCTTTCCATGGTTATTTTTTATTCATCGTAACATATATGAAATATTACACGTTAGTAAATGTATAACTGTTATATTATAATGTTTGTAATGCACCACAGGCATGTGACCTCTTAAGTACCGAAATGAAAAATGAATGTACAGTGTCCCAATTACGTACATCGATGATCATCATGTCAATCACTGGATTGTCTGAGAGAGAGAGTTACTTGCTATTATCACAGAAACTGAGACAAAGAAAAAAGTATCAGCTCATTGCAATTGGGTTTATAAGTTTCTGGCATTTGATCAAAAACGTTTCAAGCACAAGATGGTCCAGAAAGGTTCTTGCAACAATTTGTGGCAACGGATGAAACCTAGGTGTCATCATTGGGGACTAACTTCCAAGAGGCCATCCCATTTCTGGTGTCCCGGTCCCCGCCGTGATATTGCTGGATTATTGCTAAAAGCGGCATAAAACCATACTCACTCACTCACTCACTCCACGATGCCAGGCAATAAATGTAGCATTATTATTTGAGGCAATTCTTGATACAATTAAACCGCAGAGACGTAGGAAGGTCTTTGCCATGGCTACACTCCTCCAGTGTCGTTTTCAACTCATTCATCACCCACCTTCTTTTCCTGATCTGGCCCCGTGAGACTTCAACCTGTTCACGAACATAAGGAAACCCCCAGCCGGAACTCGAACGATTGTATCATAGCAGCTATGGATAACTTTTGGGAAGGCCAAGACCGCCTCTATGGTCTAGTGGTAGAGCGTCCGCCCGGAGAGCGGACGGTCCGGGGTTCGATCCAGGACCGCGTCATACCAAAAGACGTTAAAAGATGGCACTTGTTGTTACCCTGTCTGGCGCTCGGTATTAAGGGGCTAAAACAAGGACTGGTCGGCTCGGAGTCAGTATACTGTGTCTGAGTGGGGTATTCATGTTAAACTGCGGCATGGTATCTCAGTGAGCTAGCACTATAAATCGGCATCAATCCAGACTAGTACAAACAGCCAAACAAACACACACACTTACATGCACGTCGCTATATAAGTGCAATAATCTTTGACGCGACGTTAAACCCCATTTCACCTCACCTCACCTTGGAAGGCCAAGAGAAGTACTTTTACGAAACTGGGATAACATCCATGTGACACCGTTGGCAAAAGTATATCAATGTTGAAGGGCTCATTGCGTTGAAAAATGAGGTTTTCTCTGTAAGGCTCAGAAGTTATCAATCAACCATCGTACTTTAAAAAAATATGTGAAAGCACTTTTTTGGACTATATGGTAATTTCACTACTGCCTCTTTGGCAACAGCGATACAGATTGGACGATCCATTGCTTTCGCGCACTGCATCTAATCATCATCAAGGATATATCATCTTCTGTTGCAGCTATTTCAGGGCTGGCCCGGACATTGTCGTGAGGTTTGCGTGAACGACAATTTTTGGAACTAAACGAATAAAAACTGAAATAGATAAAGTACTTTTCTATATTTAGACTCTCATTGATCGCATTGGCTCTAAAACAAATATACTCATTGTCCAGTGCCAGGTGACCGACTGACGGCCATCTTCATTACACCGTCATCAACCCGGCGTTATGATACGCCCACAGCGTCACACACGCGGCGAGGAGGATGTAGGCAAGGAGGATGGGCCAGCCTAAAGCCTTGTGGTCCTCACTGTGGCGACTCTTCACACTCCTGTACACGGTCAAGGGATGCACCTTCCTCTGTAGCGTGTGGAGGTTCTGACATGCGTCGCACAGGGACCCATTATATCTCATGTCCTGCAATTGATTGATTGATTGATTGATTGATTGATTGATTGATTGTCACACTTTCCATATACCAGAAAAACACATGGTAATAATCCGATGGGCTTAGGATCATTGTCAGTTGATGGACAAAGACTGCTCTGATTTAAACCATTGCAACATTATATATACATCCTATCCCATCGTGATTGACGTGTGTAGTGTCTCCCCGGGCCGGGGTCTATGTCCACTGTAGGAATCACCAATGGAGTGAAGCCGATCCTGTTCCAACTGCTGACAACGTCACAGGGTAATGCAAAGCTTGTCTCAAGTCACCCAACTTCGTCGCCATCACATTTTGTTTACCGCTTATTGCATTGGTAGCTGAAGACCAATTCTGAGTGAGTGAGTGAGTGAGTGAGTGAGTGAGTGAGTGAGAAAATTAAAACACACTCTACGAATAATCTCTGTGTATGGTAGCAGTGCAGCAAATAGGCTACTATGCTGACAGGAGCTGGCCTTACCGAGTAGATGAGGCGATCCAGGGGTGTATTATGCTGGTGGTGTGGGGGACACACGCCAACTCCCGGTGCCCTGTGTCTGGGGCCTGCTTCATCCATTCCCCCACTCTCCAGGTAAGGTGGCACTGTCGAAGGAAGGGTTTCAGTACGATGTCTTTTGTGAGGGGCGATCAGTAATGGTTTATTAAGGTAATGTGAAGCTTGGTGTGTGGTCGGCAATTGTGGTAGATGCGTCAGTAGTAGTGTACTTTGTGTAGGTGACACGTGAAGATCCGGGGTAGAATAGGTCTTCAGCAACCCATGCTTGCCGTAAAAGGCGACTATGCTTGTCGTAAGAGGCGACTAATGGGATCGGGTGGTCAGGCTCGCTGACTTGGTTGATGCATGTCATTATATCCCAATTTTACACGGTGCTTATGCTATCAGTCACTGTATTATTAATATTACCATTACTATTGCTGCTGCTACTACGACTACTACTACTTACACTACTACTACTACGACTACAACTACTACTACTACTTCTTCTACTACTACTGCGACTACTGCTACCTTGTTTGTTTGTTGTTTAACGCCGCACTCAGCAATATTCCAGCTATATGACGGCGGTCTGTAAATAATCGAGTCTGGACCAGACCAGCCAGTGATTGATAACATGAGCATCGATCCACGCAATTGGGATCAAGCAATATGAAGCATTGCGTATGCATACATGTGCTCTGTAGGCTTGCACACACAAATAACACAGAATGAGCCTTTGTGTCAGCTTTGCAGGCTGTGTTTGTTTGTTTGTTGTTTAACGCCGCATGTTTGTTGGGTAAACATTGGGTGCTTTCTCGTTGTTATAGACGATTTAAGATTCTGTTCTTACTAAATAGTCGACATGGTAAATATGAAATCGAAATTGCAAATGTAAATGTTACTAACTCGCTCACAGAGAGAGAGAGAGAGAGAGAGAGTGAGTGGGTAGATGAGTGAATGAGGTGGTGAGTAGGTGAGAAAGTGAGTGATCATGCCGCCTAAAACAGTATTTCAATTATCTCACGGCATGTCAGCTGCTCGTTGATATGATATACGTTTTGTTTGTTTGTTTGTTGTTTAGTGCACAACTCAGCAATATTCCAGCTATATGAGAGCGGTCTGTAAATAATCGAGTCTGGACCAGACAATCCACTCATTGACATCATGAGCATCGTTCCACGCAATTGGGATACGATTACATGCATCAACCAAGTCAGCGAGCCTGACCACCCGATCCCGTTAGTCGCCTCTTACGAAAAGCATGGTCGCCTTTTATGACAAGCATGGGTTGCTGAAGACCTATTCTACCCCGGATCTTCACGGGTCTCCAGACTGTGAGTCGATGGTATCGAACACAAATTTTCAACTACGAGTCGATCCCACTGATCTACTGTCCAACTCATCATACGTACCGGTACAGTTCCTCATCCCCATCCTCATCATATTCAGGTCGAACTGCAGGAACGCCGTGTCCCAGGACAGCTTGCTGAATATTGTGTGGAAGCAGGAATCGCCTTCAGGAACTGGAATGGTTTAAATTACGTGACTATGGGGCGTTGGTCGAGTGGTTGCTTTACGTATCCGCCGACCTCAAATTTGGCTAATATGGAATACTTGCAGAATAACCAACGAGTTAAGAGGAATCACGTATTATCTGTCCCGAGTGAAAGATTGTGTCCGTCCCGAGGCTAACATCATTCATTCTCGAGGAAAGACCCGGATTAGTTTTCATTTTCAGCAACCCATGCTTCGTGTTTGAGAAGAGAGCCTTGACCAGCACTGTACGGTTAGAAGATGCAATACGACAAGGATCGGCACTAGGCCCCTTCTTGTCTGTACTGAACAGACCCGTGAAGATCCGGAGTAGAATAGGTCTTCAGCAACCCATGCTTGCTGTGGAAGGCGACTATGCCTGTCGTAAGATGCGACTGAAGGGGTCGGGTGGTCAGGCTGACTTGATTGATGCATGTCATCGCATCCCAGTTGACAAGATCGATGCTCGTAATATCAATCAATGGATTGTCTGACTCGATTGTTTCCAGAATGCCGTCATATAGCTGAAATATTGCTGAGTGCGGCGTTAAACAAGAAACAAACAAACGATGGAAGATAATATATTAAGTAACCCCAAGTTTCGCGTGGGTGATTCCATACTTTACTCATTATCATTTCAAGACAAAATGAAGAAAAATATGAACCTAATGTCAACCAATATGAACGCACCCTTGTGTTCGGATGAATATAACGTAATCAATTTCGAACGTCAATTTTTAACAATAACTCACTGCGATGTTATAGTTATGGCACAAACTGACCTTTCAGCATGGAAAATAGCTAAAATACACATTTGAAAATATCACAAAGTTATTAAACTGTCATCACAAATGTCATGTTCTCAGTGTCGTTAGCTTGCCTGTCACTCACTATCACAACTGTCATGTACGTAGTCCCGTTAGCTTGCCTGTCACTCACCATCACAACTGTCACATGTACGTAGTGTCGTTAGCTTGACTGTCACTCACCATCACAACTGTCATGTACGTAGTGTCGTTAGCTTGACTGTCACTCACCATCACATCTGTCATGTACGTAGTGTCGTTAGCTTGACTGTCACTCACCATCACAACTGTCATGTACGTAGTCCCGTTAGCTTGCCTGTCACTCACCATCACAACTGTCACATGTACGTAGTGTCGTTAGCTTGACTGTCACTCACCATCACAACTGTCATGTACGTAGTGTCGTTAGCTTGACTGTCACTCACCATCACATCTGTCATGTACGTAGTGTCGTTAGCTTGACTGTCACTCACCATCACAACTGTCATGTACGTAGTGTCGTTAGCTTGACTGTCACTCACCATCACATCTGTCATGTACGTAGTGTCGTTAGCTTGACTGTCACTCACCATCACATCTGTCATGTACGTAGTGTCGTTAGCTTGCCTGTCACTCACCATCACAACTGTCATGTACGTAGTGTCGTTAGCTTGCCTGTCACTCACCATCACATCTGTCATGTACGTAGTGTCGTTAGCTTGACTGTCACTCACCATCACATCTGTCATGTACGTAGTGCCGTTAGCTTGACTGTCACTCACCATCACATCTGTCATGTACGTAGCGTCGTTAGCTTGCCTGTCACTCACCATCAAAAACTGTCATGTAAGTAGTGTCGTTAGCTTGACTGTCACTCACCATCAAAAACTGTCATGTAAGTAGTGTCGTTAGCTTGACTGTCACTCACCATCAAAAACTGTCATGTAAGTAGTGTCGTTAGCTTGGCTGTCACTCACCATCAAAAACTGTCATGTAAGTAGTGTCGTTAGCGTGGCTGTCACTCACCATCAAAAACTGTCATGTAAGTAGTGTCGTTAGCTTGACTGTCACTCACCATCAAAAACTGTCATGTAAGTAGTGTCGTTAGCTTGGCTGTCACTCACCATCAAAAACTGTCATGTAAGTAGTGTCGTTAGCTTGGCTGTCACTCACCATCAAAAACTGTCATGTAAGTAGTGTCGTTAGCTTGGCTGTCACTCACCATCAAAAACTGTCATGTAAGTAGTGTCGTTAGCTTGGCTGTCACTCACCATCAAAAACTGTCATGTAAGTAGTGTCGTTAGCTTGACTGTCACTCACCATCACAACTGTCACATGTACGTAGTGCCGTTAGCTTGACTGTCACTCACCATCACAACTGTCACATGTACGTAGTGCCGTTAGCTTGACTGTCACTCACCATCAAAAACTGTCATGTAAGTAGTGTCGTTAGCTTGACTGTCACTCACCATCAAAAACTGTCATGTAAGTAGTGTCGTTAGCTTGGCTGTCACTCACCATCAAAAACTGTCATGTAAGTAGTGTCGTTAGCTTGGCTGTCACTCACCATCAAAAACTGTCATGTAAGTAGTGTCGTTAGCTTGGCTGTCACTCACCATCAAAAACTGTCATGTAAGTAGTGTCGTTAGCTTGGCTGTCACTCACCATCAAAAACTGTCATGTAAGTAGTGTCGTTAGCTTGGCTGTCACTCACCATCAAAAACTGTCATGTAAGTAGTGTCGTTAGCTTGACTGTCACTCACCATCACAACTGTCACATGTACGTAGTGCCGTTAGCTTGACTGTCACTCACCATCACAACTGTCACATGTACGTAGTGCCGTTAGCTTGACTGTCACTCACCATCACAACTGTCACATGTACGTAGTGTCGTTAGCTTGACTGTCACTCACCATCACAACTGTCACATGTACGTAGTGTCGTTAGATTGACTGTCACTCACCATCACAACTGTCATGTACGTAGTGTCGTTAGCTTGACTGTCACCATCACAACTGTCACATGTACGTAGTGCCGTTAGATTGACTGTCACTCACCATCACAACTGTCATGTACGTAGTGTCGTTAGCTTGACTGTCACTCACCATCACAACTGTCACATGTACGTAGTGCCGTTAGCTTGACTGTCACTCACCATCACAACTGTCACATGTACGTAGTGTCGTCAGCTTGCCTGTCACCATCACAACTGTCATGTACGTAGTGTCGTTAGCTTGACTGTCACTCACCATCACAACTGTCACATGTACGTAGTGTCGTTAGCTTGCCTGTCACTCACCATCACAACTGTCACATGTACGTAGTGTCGTTAGCTTGACTGTCACTCACCATCACAACTGTCATGTAAGTAGTGTCGTTAGCTTGCCTGTCACTCACCATCACAACTGTCATGTAAGTAGTGTCGTTAGCTTGCCTGTCACTCACCATCACAACTGTCATGCACGTAGTGTCGTTAGCTTGACTGTCGCTCACCATCAAAACTGTCGTTTTCGTAGTGTCGTTAGCTTGACTGTCACTCACCATCACAACTGTCATGTACGTAGTGTAGTTAGCTTGACTATCACTCACCATCACAGCTGTCATGTAAGTAGTGTCGTTAGCTTGCCTGTCACTCACCATCACAACTGTCATGTAAGTAGTGTAGTTAGCTTGACTATCACTCACCATCACAACTGTCATGTACGTAGTGTAGTTAGCTTGACTATCACTCACCATCACAACTGTCATGTAAGTAGTGTCGTTAGCTTGCCTGTCACTCACCATCACATCTGTCATGTACGTAGTGTCGTTAGCTTGACTATCACTCACCATCACAGCTGTCATGCACGTAGTGTCGTTAGCTTGACTGTCGCTCACCATCAAAACTGTCGTTTTCGTAGTGTCGTTAGCTTGACTGTCACTCACCATCACAACTGTCATGTACGTAGTGTCGTTAGCTTGACTGTCACTCACCATCACAACTGTCATGTACGTAGTGCCGTTAGCTTGACTGTCACTCACCATCACAGCTGTCATGTACGTAGTGTCGTTAGCTTGACTGTCACTCACCATCACAACTGTCATGTAAGTAGTGTCGTTAGCTTGACTGTCACTCACCATCACAACTGTCATGTACGTAGTGTCGTTAGCTTGACTGTCACTCACCATCACATCTGTCATGTACGTAGTGTCGTTAGCTTGACTGTCACTCACCATCACAACTATCACACGTACGTAGTGTCGTTAGCTTGCGTGTCACCATCACAACTGTCACATGTACGTAGTGCCGTTAGCTTCACTGTCACTCACCATCACAACTGTCACACGTACGTAGTGCCGCTAGTTTTACGTTCATGGCTGTAGCATCAGCTAGATGGAGAATGGCGTCGAAACGAAGAAGTTCATCTTCCAGCTCCCCACCGAACGTGCTCGTCAGTGACAACATCACCATCCCAATAGCCACATGGATCATACTACTGTTGTTGACAACCTTCCAAGTGTAAACACCACTGGGTCGTGATCACGTGATCATTTGCATTCGTAGCTGGAGGGTTCACCAACAACAATGGATACCCCTAATTCTTTTCTGCGTTTACCCTCTGTCTACAGCCTTTAAAAGAAGGAGGCGAGTTTTCCGATAGTGTTATGGTGTAAAGACACTTTTACGGTGTAAAAGTAACTAGTTTTAGGCCTTTCGTATTAAAAAAAACAAAACATATTTCAAGCCATAATTTGTAACTCGAGGTGCTTCTTATCAGCCTTCCGCTTCATTGACTGGAGTTGTGCACAACACAGATAGCTGTCAGGCACGTGACATCAGTTTTCTATGGAATCCCAGAAGGGACATTGTCGGAGTATCGCTTTGGTAAATGTTGTCACTTTGTGCCTGGTTAAAGAGGGCGACAACGCGACAAGACAATGCCATTATGTCCATTCTAGATGTCCATAGTTTTTGCTTGAGTCGTAATGACACATTCTAGGTTGGTACCCTCACAGTTAAGCCGTACTTTGATCATACAATCATCGTAAAAGATATATGCACTGTGACGTCAAAACAGCGTGACGGTATAAATGTGCTCTTGAAAATCACATGCGTGAAACCGGTTGAGTCAATTATACAGCTCATCTTTGGACTATATCTATATCTATATCTATATATATACATTTGGGTTTATTATTTGGGGAAGAGACCACGTGATAGATATTGAGTTTAGAGTGGATTCATACATAATCTACAATGTCAACCCTCCAAAATGGTGTAGTGCCTTGTCAAAGAATGGATGGTTAGAATTTTAGAAATTTGTTAAAGCATTGCTGTGTGTTGTCTTTTTACCATAAAACATTAATTATGTGGAAGTTACCGTGTGCGCATCTGCATATATCTTGTTTTTAACAAAGGCATAACCTTGCTAAATCGAACAAAGTATGACATTGCTAAAAACGCGCGCATGCGTAATGGTTGAAGTGGTCCCTTTATACCCAAGACCGTCAGTTTCGAATTAAACATAATCAACTCTCAATAATAAACCATTATACTCGCAGTACCATGGACTGCACAACATGAATTTTGTGAATTTCATTTAAAATGAAATGAGTTCATTTAAAAGGAGTATGCACGTAAAACGATACACATTTTATAATTTTATCATTTTATTATCAAGCTGACGCCAAGAACATGGACTCCCATTTTACATCGTCGAAACCAAACTCTCATAATAAATATTGTATTCTCTGAACGTAACATTTCTCATACAAGCAGATACTTATTTAATGTTTCTGTTTCTTTATACTTGACTTTATCGCTTGAGAGATACATAGATAACTTTTTAAATGAAAATAATATTGAAAACATTTATTTTTTTTATAATTGACAGACACCGTATCTGGTATTAAAATTGTGTTATTGTAAATGTTTATTGGAGAGGAGCTTTTTATACGACAAAACTGTATATTTGTTATATAGACAAGGATGCCGAAGACAAAATACATATTTTAATCTAAAGGGGCCAGTTGGTCGTAATACGCTCATGATATTTAGCTGAACGTTTATCATAAATAAAAACATAATTGCCATTATTTTGGACAATAATCGAGTTGTCATACATTCCCTTTCTTAACATACAAACACAAAGATACTTTTTTCAAGTCGCATTGATGGCGCGGTCGGGTAGCCTAGTGGGTAAAGCGTTCGCTCGTCACGCCGAAGGCCCGGGTTCGATTCTCAACATGGGTACAATGTGTGAAGCCCATTACTGGTGGTCCCCCGCCGTGATATTGCTGGAATATTGCTAAAAGCGGCGTAAACCATACTCGCTCTACACGCATTGCGGTCAATATATAATAATGGTATTATTCATGTTCAAATGTTGAGTCCCATGAACCACCACCAGAAGCTTGGTTAGAGTATATTTTGGGCAGTCTGAAACGATCGCTGTCACGCTGTGAGAAATGATGAAAGGTACCCGATGAAGCGAGCGTAAAATATTGCTTTCCCTGCGTGTTTTGCAACGTCTCTGTGTTCACGTTGTGCTGAATACCTCTAAATAATTTTAATTTTAAAGGCTTTAATGGACATATATCATAATTATTACAGTCCATATGTAACAATTATGTCTTTTTCCACTCATGTAGCACACAAAAATAAATCGTGCATTTTTTACATACTGAGCTGATTCCACCTAAACGGTGATCGACCATGTGGTCCCTTTACCGGTCGCCTTCCCCATTTTGATGAGTTAAGGGAAGTTATCAGCACAGAGGTTTGCGGTAGGAAATATTTAATGTACCTGGATCTGGTGTGCAGAGCTTTCTGTTATCACCCGATTCCCGGTTCGCCCCAATTATGTTTCTAGGTTTGTCAGCACCACACTGTGCTCGTGGGTTTCACCGAAGTGGTAGACGTCTGAGACCTGCATCACTTCGGGCTTTCCTCCCACATTAAGCTGACGCGCCGTGATATAACTGTAATACTGTTAAAAGCGGCGTTAAACCCAACTTGTTGCGCTTATATAGCGACGAGCACGTACGTCATGCGTTTTGTTATCAAATATATCAGCACAAGTACCGTAAGTCGTGTGTTGTGATATCAAACATTTCAGCACAAGTACCGTAAGTCGTGTCTTTTGATATGAAATATATCAGCACGAGTGCCGTACCTGGTGTCTATTGATATGACATGATATATCAGCACGAGTTCCTCTGTAATACAACACACTACTACACAACAGAAGTCTCCGAGCGTTCCGGTGTATCGGGTCATGATCTGCAGCGAGTGTCTGCTGCAGATGTCGCACAGTGATGCAGTACCCGCCGTCACAGACGTCCATTCAGTCCATTGCCAGTATAACCCATAAACTCACCGCCACTTAAACATTCATATATTGTTACGTCTTATGTCACCCTAACCTCATTGATCACAACCCAACAACGTTTGAACTGTAAACGGGCTAATGGTGTTATGATAGCTTTGATCAATATTCGCTTGAATTTCTGGTCTGCGTCCCTGCATCTGCTTTCTCTTAAGCCCTTTTTTCAGATTCCTGAATATAACTGCTTTGTGTCCACTTGAACACATGGTACAAACATAACTCGATACGAGTTTCATCCTAGAACACTGTATTCCGTTCGCCACTAAACTACTGCTCATAGGATGACATAAAACCTGTAAGGGTGAGGTGAAATGGGGTTTAACACTATTGCACTTATTATATAGCGACATGCATGCACGTGTGTGTGTGTGTGTGTGTGTGTGTGTGTGTGTGTGTCTGCTTGAACTAGTCCGGACTGATGCCGATTTATTGTGCTGGCCGTCATAAACGTGAGACCGCCTCCGCGGCCTAGTGGTAGAGCGTCCGCCCGGAGAGCGGAAGGTCCGGGGTTCGATCCCCAGCCGCGTCATACCAAAATACGTTAACAGATGGTACTTGTTCTTACCCTGTCTCGCGTCGGCATTAAGGTCGGCTCGGAGTCAGAATACTGTGTCTGAGTGGGGTATTCATGTTGAACTGCGGCATGGTATCGCAGTGTGCTGGCACTATACATCGGCATCAGTCCGGACTAGTACAAGCAGCCACACACACGTGCATGCGCGTCGCTATATAAGTGTAATAATCTTGGACGCTACTTTTAACCCCATTTCACCTCACCTCAGTAATGAAACGCGTATATTCTGCACCCGAGTGATCATAATACCTGTGTCTGAGTGGGGTATTCATGTTAAACTGCGGCATGGTATCTCAGTGAGCTAGCACTATAAATCGGCATCAGTCCGGACTTGTAAAATCAGCACACACACACACACACACACACACACACACACACACACACACACACACACACACTTGCTATATAAGTCAGTGCAATAATCTTGGACATGCTGTCAGTCTCTTGATTAGACTCGAATATTTACAGTTTTCCGTGATATAACTGGGATGTACTGCGTGTTTTCTGATAAACACAACACAAACGAATCAGTACATGTAAGAGTTATAGACATACCTTTTGAGGAGCATCGGTGTATATACCAAAAGAGTAATGGCACAAACGAAATTGTAGATGTCTTTCTTGGCCGACGACCCGTGAAGATTCCGGGTTAAAATTGTTCTTCAGCAACCCATTCTTATCGTAAGGGGCGACTAACGGGATCGGGTGGACAGGCTCGCTTACTTGGTTGACGCATGACATCGTATGCCAACTGCGTGGATCGATGCTCATGATGTCAGTTACTGGATTGTCTGATCCAGACTCGATTATTTATAGCCTGCCGTCATACAGCTGGAATATTGCTGGGTATGGCGTTAAAAAAACCCCAAAAACAAACAAACAGAATATTGGCCGACGCATCACATCAAGGCTGTCAAAAGTAACTGAAACGGATATAAAATGTTAACATAAACGCTCCTTGGTTCTCCACTCTGTCCCTGCAGAGGTAATGTCTTGCCCGTGAAGAGATCACCTGTTTAATAAACAAACAGCGTGCGTGCTTATGTACTGCGGGAACAAGTTACACTAAACAAACATTGAAAGCTCTCAACATCCCTTGGCTTATTCAACGACATTGCGTGAGGAGATGATAGATCACTGAGATGAGTTTATGCACACTCAATGGCCCCAGCAACCCCGTTGCTAGGCTGACGTTACATGACATAGTTTCGCCGGTGGATGTTGCAACAAAATTCCACAAATTACACCCTAGAGTATTGTGACATAATTGTTACGATAGTTACGATAACCTAAGCGCTACGATAACTTTGAATTCTAAAGGTGGGCTGTTGTATGGTATTAAATGAATAATTGTCAACGTTTGATGTGTTTGAACTATTATTCTGTTAAACTCAATTGGATTACATTCGAACGGAAACACAGTGTTGAACGGTAAATCATTACTAAATCTACTCAGCATGCAAATATATATACAGTATAAACTGACGTCCAAAAGAAACTTTACCAGAGTTTGAAATCACTCTTGCTCAAA